AATTGAAGAAGATCGAACGGAACAAATAAATATCAAAAACTTAAGAAGAGTGAATTTGATCATAATGTTGATATTTTCTCTAGTTTATGGACAATGTGGGTCTTTTGAACTTTGATTGATCACCTGGATCATAATCAACTGCATTTCGAAGGAGCTGATTCTCATGAAATATTATCTTCAGAGGAAAGCGAAATATTCTCGGAATTATTGACACTCTGCCACTAACTCAGATCAGTTTGAATCGAGGCACGTTTGAATATTCGCAAAGGCTACATCATCTTTTCACTTTTCTATTCAACTTGTCACATGACTGCAGTATGTCCAGAATAATAGCAGTACATTAATCACGAAGACAAAGGAATTCAAAGTCATCACCACACTAGTTCATTAAATGACCAAAAATGGTAGATAACGAGAGAAAAACAACTACTGTCCTGGCTATATGCCACTAAATTTATGAAATAGTTCGTATAAACGAATAAAATCGCAAATGTGTCCTTCCTAAACGCTGAGCTGCGCTTAAGTGGTTCAGGAACGCTGACTATCTGCAGACCGGTTTCGAGCTGTTGGTCCTCATCAGTACAGGGCTATCCCAGATAGCTTCTCGACCGCTATCTGGTGCGACCCTGACCCAACGTAAACGCATCTCAGCATTTATACCATACGAGGCGTTCGAAGTCCGCGAAATAAAAAAGCGAACGACGAACGCCACCTGGCAAGGAGAGAAATTAACACTTCAATACAAAATCCCATTTCAGGTGAAATGGAAGTGGCTGGTTGCCCGACTGTCGTATTTTCAACTAGGGAAATGACTGCGATTCTCTCTCTCTTTGTGACCATTACATTCCACAGGTTGTTTTCCAAAATTCACCATTCAATTAGTATCGAATAGCATAACCCATATGGTGCTGGACGTCTTGAGGACATCCATTTTAGGCCCGATTCAGGTCTGAACGTCCTGGACCATTTCAAGACGTACTGAAAACGTCCATTTTTGGACGTACCGGGTACGTACGATTCCGATGTACTGGATACGTCCAACTCTAGACGTTATCGAATCGTATATATGATGATAATTGAAATCATTGCATATCATTTCTACCCTGGGTCTCTGATATCTATTCATTTAGGAACCTTGCATACATGAACATAATACATTTCTTACAATCAATTTTTCACTGGCCGTACCTGATCACAGAATATCTATTTAGGTATTTTATGCCGTAATCATCTAATTCTATGCAAGTATAAAGTATAAAGGTTTCTGTAGAGTAATAGGTAGAGCATCTGCCCGGTTATCTACACCTTTTTCAATTGTAATTCAGAAAGTATAAGATGTAATTCAGAAAGTATAAATTGTAATTCAGAATAGTTAATTGTAATTCAGAAAGTCTAACTTGAAATTCAGATTAGTCAATTGTAATTCAGAAAGCGTAATATGTAATTCAGATTAGTGAAATGTAATTCAGAAAGTGTAACTTGTAATACAGAATAGTGAAATGTAATTCAGAAACCGTCAATTGTAATTCAGAAAGCATCACTTGTAATTCAGAAACTAGGAACAACCCAAATGCATCCATTCTCTTTGAGGTCCGGGTGTTGGAGAACAACGATTTGTTTATCTACATAGAACAGAATACTGACCAGGCCAAAGATACAATTGTTGGAGGAGATTGTGCTAGGGCTGCACAACACACCACCATTCACCATGCTGCAGCTCTGGCATTTCAAGATATGCCCGTTGGTTGATAAATATAAAATATTGATGTTCACCACACAATGAACCATTCCTTTATTTCTATTTCTTAGCCTTATTTAATTCCATAGTGTTTATGAATTACAAGTGATGCTTTCTGAATTACAAATTACGCTTTATGAATTACAATTGACTATTCTGAATTACAAGTTACACTTTCTGAATTACCTTTCACTAATCTGAATAACATGTTATGTATTCTGAATTACAATTGATAAATCTGAATTACAATTGACGCTTTCTGAATTACAACTAACTATTCTGAATTACAAATTACACTTTCTGACTTACATTTTACTAATCTGAATTACAAGTTACACTTTCTGAATTACAATTGAAAAAGGTGTAGTGGGATCGATCTCGTTAGAAGCACTTTTTTTATTCAGAATAAGATTTTTTCTACTCTGTCTAGGTTTCTGTTTCAACTATCTGAGTAAAAAAGGCGGATCTACGTTGATTTAGGTATTCATGGTCCCTATTCCGACCTGAACAGGACCTTAATCGTACTTCCTGGGGACCTCTGGTTGTGTAACATCCTATGTCCCCAAAACGTTCTAAAAACGTACGCCGTTCTGGGGACGTTTCCAATGTCCGAGGTGTAAGGCTTGAGGACATTTCCGGGACGTTTCTGTGTTATCTGGGAATTCCAATCTCGTCATGAAATCGCGAAATCGAGTGCAAATTTACGCACAGAAACGTGCAGTTCCTCAACCAGGTACAGGTTATACAGATATCATTGTTCTTCATTGGAAGTCAATCATAGGTGTCATATTTTGAATAAATTAAATAATCGAAAATAAACCTTTTCTGTACTCCTATATTGATTTTCTATCTCTCTTAGTTTATGAGGTAACAACTAAACAAAGTAATGTGGAAACCTAAATCACCTATTACAGTTTTTCAAGATAGGTAGATAGGTAGGTAGGTAGAATTAGAGTCCCTGAATATAACTTAGACAAGAGTCCGGACACAGCTATACTTCTGTCCTTTTCTGTTTTCAAAAAATGCATTGATGATTGAATAAAGGAATAAGACATATATATCGACCTCTGTCTTCTCAATTCCCCTAGTATCAATGATTGTCAGAAAACCTTTTGAGGGTTAGATTATTTGTCAAACCGTTTATAGCCGTAGGTAGAAGTGAGAAATAGGGCTATTCCAACTAGAATAACTATTAGATTTTCGAATAATCAACAACAGGGTGTTCAAATTTCGAATCGATAATTTTAATAATCAATTCCTGAGATGGCCATTGAAAATTTTTGTCATCAGATATTCCTCCACTTCATTAGATATAAGCCAAGAAAATATAGTTGTTTTCTGTGGGATATGAAAAAATAGAAGATATTATAATTGTTTCAATATAATTTTCTCCGATTCTCTCAATTCAATGACACTCATCAGAAATAGAAGTAACATAATCAAATCAACAATATATTTGATAGCGAGTGCTTTATCAATTGTGTTTTCCACCTCTTCCTGCAAACTAGACAAGCCCAGTCAGCACATCCTTTCGTTGTCAACCTCGAAAGATGTCGAACAGCTTTTTATCAAGACTCCTTCATCCATAGAACGGCTAAGCTCTGGAATTCATTGCCTGTGGAAGTATTCCCAACAACATATAATCTCCAACAGTTCAAAAAAATTCCAATACCGACCTCCTGTCCCTATCCTCCCAAGGAACGCACGATGTTCTTTGAACATCATAGGGATTCCCTTTCGTGCGCTCCAAGCGATAAAAAAAAGTCTACATTCACCGGTACATTTTGAATTTGATCTGAATTGATAACACCGTGGACTGATGATATGGCACATTGCAGTTTTCCTCAATCTTCTAGTTTTGATTCGAGTTTTGATTTCGATCATCTCATTTTCATTTTCTTTCTCTGCGAACGTATCATTCAGTAATTCCCAATACGATGACGACGGGACGTCTCTATTCCATAAATTAACGGCACAGCAGACTCTTTCAATTTGAAATCCATCAGCTCGAAAAAATCTATCAAAATGGGCCTAAAATTCATCTTTTTTGTACTGTTTTCACAAGTAAATTTGAATATTTACCTCACATATTGCGGATTTCTTGAAATTAATTTTCCATTCTCGACGTTTCATTGCATTCTTTCATGACATTATCTTTAAAGGATCATTCGGAGAATTGAATAACTTGAATACCTTTTCTAATGAATTATCGCAATAATGTACGCAGCAGGCAAATGAAATGATTCAAAATGCTAAATTTTGGCGGTCATAAAATTTCAAAGTGGCAGTGACAGAAATTCGAAATAATTAAAAAAAGCGGGCGGGACGACTATGGTGTTTCGTCACATTGTCAGGTGGGCAAACCAAATGAAACAAAATATTAAAAACCCCAACGGCTGTCAGTTTTGTGTCCAGACTCTTGTCTAAGATATATACAGGGACTCTAGGTAGAATCATCCTTTAATCCTCCTCAACAAAGTTCAATTGATTTCCAACGGATCAGAGGATAAACGGTACCGTTTGTTTACCTTTTTCCTTTAAAAGTCGAAAGCGATAACCTAACCACAGTAATTGAGTTTACTCCAGTTAGTTCGCTGTAACGCAGCGCCAAAGTGGCCAGTTGTGGAACTATATGAAAGTACAGGGTCTTCCAAAGAGCTGTTACTATTCAGTTGCGCTGTAGACAATTACAGTAACGTAACAACAATTCCGCCACTATTGCATGTCGTAAATTCAATATCTGAGAACATTCTCGAGAATCACATATCATCAAAATCACATATCACCATGGAATGACCAAAAAACCTTCATCATGACCAGCATTGTTTCTTATCACAATTAACTTTTCAATTTCCTAGAGAATTTACATGAAATGAGCGAACTTTCTTTCCAAAGTGGATTCCAAGATTCCCAAGTAAATGTCATTTGAGTTGGAATAATGATTCATGTGGACCCCATTTTCTACAACCCAGATAACACAAGGACGTCCTGAGAACGTTCGCAGGACGTCGATCTGGGACATTCGGGACGTCCCAAGGACGTCCATTTTTGGTCGGTCGACGTCCCAAGGACGTCCTGAGGAGGTTCGATGTTACAAAACGGTCCGTCCTGGGGACGTCCATAATAGGTCCTTGTATAGGTTGTTATGGACGTTCTCGGGATGTCTCGGGGACATTCATTACAGACCTTCCCCGAATGTTCTCAAGAAGATTGTTTCATCTCAAGAAGATTGTTTTATTAGGGGTGCCTTTCAACCCAAACATAATATAAAAACAAGCATTTTCTCATAGGAACATTTATTATACCGAACATATGTGAATTATTGATACATATATAGTTGTTATACAACATCATTTATATCTGTATGCTATACAAATTTATAGTTGGTATATAACAATTTATATTTATATATGTATTTTATACAAATTTAAAGTAAGCAGGTACATGAATATAATTTATATTTATAGTTAACATAATATTTCATTAGACATCAAAACTTTTTTGCTTGCCGATTCTCCTGGAGGACCCTTTCACTTGCTCTCTTGAGCCATGACTGAATTGCTAGCTCAGTTTGTCTGAAATTTTCAGAAATCTTGGCTGTTTCAGCAGATCCTGAAAAGTTATGATAATTATGATTCGATCGTTGTGGGCCTGCCTTTGAGTTGTGGGTGGGTGGGTGGGTGGGTGGGTGGGTGGGTGGGTGGGTGGGTGGGTGGGTGGGTGGGTGGGTGGTTAGGTAGGTAGGTAGGTAGGTAGGTAGGTAGGTAGGTAGGTAGGTAGGTAGGTAGGTAGGTAGGTAGGTAGGTAGGTAGGTAGGTAGGTAGGTAGGTAGGTAGGTAGGTAGGTAGGTAGGTAGGTAGGTAGGTAGGTAGGTAGGTAGGTAGGTAGGTAGGTAGGTAGGTAGGTAGGTAGGTAGGTAGGTAGGTAGGTAGGTAGGTAGGTAGGTAGGTAGGTAGGTAGGTAGGTAGGTAGGTAGGTAGGTAGGTAGGTAGGTAGGTAGGTAGGTAGGTAGGTAGGTAGGTAGGTAGGTAGGTAGGTAGGTAGGTAGGTAGGTAGGTAGGTAGGTAGGTAGGTAGGTAGGTAGGTAGGTAGGTAGGTAGGTAGGTAGGTAGGTAGGTAGGTAGGTAGGTAGGTAGGTAGGTAGGTAGGTAGGTAGGTAGGTAGGTAGGTAGGTAGGTAGGTAGGTAGGTAGGTAGGTAGGTAGGTAGGTAGGTAGGTAGGTAGGTAGGTAGGTAGGTAGGTAGGTAGGTAGGTAGGTAGGTAGGTAGGTAGGTAGGTAGGTAGGTAGGTAGGTAGGTAGGTAGGTAGGTAGGTAGGTAGGTAGGTAGGTAGGTAGGTAGGTAGGTAGGTAGGTAGGTAGGTAGGTAGGTAGGTAGGTAGGTAGGTAGGTAGGTAGGTAGGTAGGTAGGTAGGTAGGTAGGTAGGTAGGTAGGTAGGTAGGTAGGTAGGTAGGTAGGTAGGTAGGTAGGTAGGTAGGTAGGTAGGTAGGTAAAAAACTAAAAGTTGATTCTGATTCTTTCACTATCATATATAGACACTCACTTATCAGTAATGTAGAAAGATTCAATTTATGAAAGGACATCTTCCCCTTCCTTCCAAGCCAGCTGTACTGCTTGGCCATATCATTTGTCATTAGTGCCGACATTACTCTTTTTATAAAGCTGTAAGTATTTGAGCCCCCAAATCCAGCGAATTCATGTACCTAAAATGGAAGTTTTTTTTATACACAAGTACAGATCATTTTTTCTCTCACTATTATAATGACATCTCATGCATGGTATAATGACACGAATTTAGTTCAATCAATTCAAATGCCTAACTGCAATCTGTTCAACATAGTATATAGTCCCTCTTAAATTTTCACTCCAGCTTAATGGTTGCCCATAGAGAGCAGTAGGAAAGATGAATAAAGCTGAGCTGAAGGGTGTGATAATGAATGATACCTAATGAGTGACTTGATAAGGATGTCTATCATGGAGATCGCTTATCTCTTTCTTTCTGACGTTATTTATAGAGATATAGGAAAACTAAAGACACTTACTCATTGCCACTTTTTAAACTTTACAAAACAGTGTTGAGAGATTTTCTGTACGACGTTTCGTAGAAACCATCATCAACCTTACCCTATGATAGACATCCCTATGTTGGACACACTGTATAGTGTTATAGATATTAAGATCTTATGTGAATAATAGAAATTTAAGATTTATATTCTTTGAGGATATTAAGATCTTATGTGAATAATAGAAATTTATTCGTTCACAAGATTTATATTCTTTGAGAATAAAGTATATTTGAGTGATTGAAAAATAATAACAAGAATATTCATAAATTGATTTCAACAATTTGGTGTCCAATCAACTTTCTTGATATCAGAAACATGGAACAAAATGATTCAATTACATATATATTATACTCACGGCTCTACTGAAATTTTCTGGATTTTCCAAAATATTCTCGAGTTTTTTTACATCAGTATCAGTCTGCATAGGAAACTTAACTTCTTTTGCAAATTTCACAAAAACTGATTGAATTTCTTCCTGAATTGCTGGTCCAGTATTTTTTTTCAATGTTCGAATTTCTGCTAAGACATCTGTAGTCAAACTTCGTAGGAGATGGTTTTGTTCCAATAAAGTATGAAAATATTTTTCTGAAAATAAATACAAATAGGTATATTTATTACTACATATTATTTGAAATGCCAAATAATAGAGAGTAGATATAATTCATAATGCATATACATTAATTCTCTACTTTTCTAAAAACAAATGAGGATTGAGGAAGAGGAAGAATTACCACAGAAAACACATGATGAATTAGGCCTTTCTGTTTCTCTTTGGGGGACATCAGATACCTCAACTTCTAGGTGATTATTTTCTAAAAATATGATTGTCATTTTATCGTTTTGAATCTCAACAAAATAGCTGGAAACCAATCAAATCGATAATCGAAAAATAATACTTTATGATTGAAAGCATGAAATAGTAACTTGCCAATAATAGGTGTGATTTCTGCAGTTTGAGATTCTTTGATGTAAGTATTATGATATTCCTTCTGTGGAATCTCTGCATTATCTGAAATATAAATTTCATTTCAATAAGAATTCTGATAAGAAAATTAGTGTGATTTTTTTAAAAAATTTGAACTTTAATAATGATAATTCTAACCTAATTGTCACCTAGAACTTACTTTTTGTGGGTAACCTCAATTTCGGGGCTACTGGAAGGATAGATTCAGTCAAAGAATCGTCAGATGATGATAATACTTTTTGAACTCTTCTTCTCTTTGATATATTTTCATAATCCGACGCCAGATCACTGGTTTCTTCTGCCACTTTTGACTTATTTCTAGCAGTCATATAATCATCTAAAAAGGATTAGTATGAATAATTGTCAAGAATTGGGCATTTAAGCTAACCATAAGTAGCATTTCTAAATATTTTAATATGATGAACTGGCCAGCATGTGTTCAAAGGTTCACATTTTCTGATGGCATTAGCCAATTTTGTTTGTAAATAAGAAGGCCAATGGCACAATTCTCCTTGTATCCAATTTGTCGGAACAGCTGCCACTGATAAATCATCAAACTGGACAATGGTCCAACTTTTTTCAGAATTATCCATATTTACGAAAATCTGAAATAAAAGGAAGAACAGGAGAGAAGAATTTGATAGGTATATAAATGGATCAATTTTCAATGATTAAGGCATTCTTGATGCAAAATTATAAGGAGCCCCCCTGAATTGTTAATACAAAATTATAGGTACCTCAGTACAGGGTGTTAATTAATTGGGTGCTGATAATACAAGGTGTGAATCATCGGGTGATTTTAAGGAGAAAAGTGTATATCATCATAGGTCCTAAACTAGTTTTTGAGCTACAGGGTGTTGAAATCAGGGGCGTATAGTTTTTTATTTAGATCCAAAACATTCAATATCAAGCCTACGTGAGCATCACTGATGGAATTGAAAAATAGATTTTCGTCCCAAAGTGGGTGCCTACTCAATTTAACAAAATACGAAAAACAATCTCAATAATGAACTAGAGAAAAATACTGTTTTGATTTTCATTTTTTCTTACAGTTTTAACACCTTGTAGCTCAAAAACTAAGAGGTTTAGGACATACGTTGATATGAACTTTTATCCTTGAATTCATCAGAGGATTCACACCTTGTACTATTGAAACTCAAATAATTAACACCCTGTATAGTCTGTGGTGTCATATTTTGTATAAACACTTTAGGGACAACCTATATATTATCATATTAATATTTTTTCATAGTAAAAATTGGTGATTTTGAAGGTGGTTGAAAATAAATATGAAAACTGTACAAAAATGAAGAAAATTAGTTTACATATGAATCAAAGTGCAGTATGTAGCAGAGGAAATACCACAAATTGATCCCCAAACTGCAATTTGACACACTTATGGATAATATTTTTTATATTGAATGATTCTAAAGCACCAAGATCTGATTTCACAATAAAAATATCTAGTACTGAAGATTTGCAAGGATTTTCAAAAAAATCTTTTTTGTATAAAAACTTCTGAGCAAAAATTTTATACTCGTTCTGAATTGACACAATATTTTGTATAACAACAATATCCCCACTACTCAGGAAACAACAGTTATCTGGTTCACTAATTCGTAAAATATAATCACTGAAACACACTTCTTTGAACTCACTGGTTATAATAAAATTCAAATAAGGTCCATTTTTATGCTCATTTTTAAAAACAGGAAATTTTTCGAATTTATGAGGATTTTTCATGTTATAATCATCTTTTTCACTTGTTCTTTTAATTATCTGGGCCAGTGGCTTATCACTTTTTCTTATTGATTTCAATATCGATTGTAAAAAATTTTCAAAAGGAAAAGCACTGAAATTATGCAAAGGGCCGTGGTTCCTAACATCATCAGTCAAGTGCAATAGATTATGAACGTTATGAGAGATATTCTGTGGGCCATACAATGTTCTGAAAGATTCTACAAAATATTTTAAAAGTGATGATGCATATTCAATATGTTCTAGGTATTTTGAATTTGATAATATAAGTGAAGCTACATGAAGACACAAAAAATTCATGTACCTATCCTTACTAATATTTTTTATCAAAACAATAGGGCCTGTGTAAAGAAGGAACTGTCGAAACTCAGTTGCTTTCCATCTTTTTACCTCTGACAGACTTCTTGGCTTTCTATTAAATTCAATTGGCATATTCTTCGACTGGTCAATGAGTGATTGAGATATGTTCGTTATATTTTGGAAAGATATTTTAGAAGCTGGTTTACCACAACACCACAAAGAAACTAATAACTTTTTTACTACTCCAAGACAGATCAGATGCATGTAATCTAAAGGAAAAGAGTGAATCATATCAACACCAGGAATATTTTCAATAATTGAGGTACCATTATGATGAGATTCTTGTGATTTCAACCTAAAATCAACATCATTTCTAGCACATAGATTGTTGGTTTGTGGAAAACAGATTCTATTATCAATATAACTGCCTTCAATTTGACATTTGGTGCAAGATGCATAACCAGAGTGGCCTTTGGTGAAAGTTATGTAAGACTTGGCAGGTGCATCACATATAAATGAACCAATTTTAACATTATATTTTTTTCCATTGATAAATAAACCATGATATATAACATCAATTGCATCATCAACAAAGTCCTGTAAAAAATTATTAGCATCCTTTGGTTTTTCATACCCATGATAAATTCCGATTATGTCAACAATATTTCTGTTTTCTGATAAACTACACAAAATAGGATAGACTTGACTACTTGAGCTCTTCGATAGTGGTAACCCATCAATATTGATTGAAATAATAATAGAATCAGAATGTTGATAACAATTAGAAGAACGAATCCATAATTTTTCAATACAATGCTTCAATCCAAAATGATAGTATTGTCCAGGTTCTACTGGCTTGGTAATTACATCTCGACAAGTTCCTAAAAGAGTCCTAGCATCAGATGGCAACTGAGGATTACTATTTTTTAAAATTTTCAACAAGTCATTTATGGCAACATGAGATATTTTGTGGCTCAAAGCCCACTCTTTCAATTGTAATTCAATAGGCCTGGCATACTCATCTTCAGATATTATTGATTGGGTGTTACAAAAATTATGATTTTCATTAGTATGAGGATCAATTTCGAGGTTTTCTCTCGGGTTTACTTCAAACGATGAATCAATTTTCTTCGAGATGGGGACTTCATTATCAGATTCATCAAAATCTGTGAAATATGAAATTGCAATGGACTCAGTAGTTGGATGAGGATTTTGTTGTGCATGAATATATGAAGTTCCAGGTTGCTCTGAACTTACGACCACATCAGTATTGTTGTAAGGATGATGCAAGATATTATGTTTATTTATTCTCTTAGCTTGCATGTAATATTTATGAAGATTCACCCTATTATCTGCCATTTTTCAACGAATATATCGACTTACCCCAAAGCTAGTATAGGTTGGAATCGTTGGAATCAATGATAATCTTCTTCTTATTCTCGTTTGGATTTTGGAATAATGACGCTACTGTGGATAAAACAAGTTCACCATACACTCTATAATGCAGGAAGCAATTCCAACATGTCACATTTCAATGCAGTTAACATTGAATGGAAAACATGGAACGTTTTTTATTCAATATTAATGAATTAAAGGAACCACAGTTTACCGCTTTCATGGAATGAACATGAAATACCATACACAATAATGGCGGATGGCGGTCAAAAAAATGCGAGAATTGCGAGAACGCCGAGAACGGAGAGGACGCATCACGTGACTCAAGCAAAACGCGCAGTCGCAATCGCGCGCTCACACGGCAAGAATTTGAATGACCACAGACTTTCGGTACAAATGCAATTTTGGTAGACCAATAAAAACGATGCTAACTACGGCGGTCAATTTAAATCATAATTATAATGAACTATGCTATTCTTATGCTGTATATACAAACAAAAAGAGTATAAAAAAACATCATTCAAATAGTCAATCATAATATTAAACGTCCATCAACTTAATTGAAGGAATAAAAATACGATACCGAAAATTCGAATTGACGACTTCTGATTGGTCTAAGAATGCATGGATAGGTACCGAAAATCATGGTGGTTGTTCGACTTCGTGCGCACACACGGCAGTCATGGCACAAAACGCGTATATCGTATCACACAATGTAATATTATTAGTAAGGAAATACATACACGCACTGAGTGCATCATTAATTCATCCCAGTGGAAAGCGGTGTGAGCGAATATAAAATATATTACTTCCATAAAATATCATCTCTCTACATTATAGGTATATATACCTATCTGCTTACATCATTCGAAATCATGCACAAAATCGGATTCAACCTCGATTGACATTCACAGAATACGTGACAATCGATTTCTAATGCAATATAATTACAGATGATATGAATATAGATTGGGACCTGATTTGTACGTCCTGAAAACGTTTCTCATCGTACGTCCCAAGAACGTTGGCGACGTACGTCCTCAGGACGTCCAAAATAGATACTGGGACGTTCGGACATAACTAGGACATGAAATGGACGTCCTTGGGACGTCCTGTGCTATCTGGGAAGGGAGATTGAACGATGTTTATTTCCATCGATTCCTGATCATTGAAATACATGATTTTCTTGTCGATATGTGCCTCTGGGAATATGAGTTTGAGAGTTAGATTCAACACGATGGTGCTTCACCTAATTCCGAAGAGATAAAGGAAAGATACAATGACGCAGTGTACAGTGGAAGCCAGAGGGGACTCACACACTATAATATTGGAAATTAGACCCCATATATTATGATGTTCATGAAGGTTATCAACCAGCTCGACGAAAAAACCTCATTCGGGAAGAATCGTGAGAGGAAGATCAGATTATTAATATACCTCAATTATTGGAATGGTCATTTTGAACCAGTTGCTTGGCTTGCTACATCTTTCGATATGATTTTTGTTATACAGGGTATGTCTAGGCGAGCTCACACTATCTCTATATCAAGAATCAGTCGGGAGAAATCCATGGAAATGTGCATGCTTTTATTTCAGATAACGCTTCCTTCATTTGACATATTTTCGACAATGCAGTGTTGCCGCTTCTGCTAGAAAGTAGAAGCAACATTGATATTTCCAATGGAACACTATGTATTTTATCGCATTTTCAGAATCTTCCTAGAGAGCTGGTTTCATCGTGGGGTCTATCATGAATGATTATAAACGTATAGGGTGTTCAAAATCGAGATTTTTCAACTCTAGGATCCCTTTGTGTCGAAACTATTCATTACCAGTAACTCTTTCTTGCAGCGTTTGCTGGCTGCTACCACTACTGCCAGCCACACATCGGACACACTGACTCAATGAGTACATTCATCACTAACTGGTTCATTTTGAGTCTTCTGGTTGTGTTCTTCATCTAGTGCTTAGCAGTCAGTGTCACTGTCTCTGCCACTTGTCTTTGTCATCAATTGTCAACATTGATTTCAATCACGTTCTCGTTTATATACGTACTGGATGCCGAGCATGTTCATTGCAATTGAAATACTTTTTCGATATCCTCAGATTTTGGGGTACACCCTTTTCGGAGTCAACTCTTTCAGCAGCACTCAGCCTTTGCTGGTAATGTAACAATTTTTTCACGCCGGCGGAAGTAGAAGTCACTTCTTCTGGTAACAAAAAAAAAGCAGAAGTCTCATATTCCCTAGGGAAAAAATGTGACATATTTTCTTCCTAGGGAGGTTATACCAACTTCACATTTTCCGCATAGCTCTTAGCTTTTCATTTCGGAACACCCTTCTCTGAAACGAATATGAGCTGTATCATACAGATTTCTAGATCTCACTGGTAGCAAGTGAAGAATCACTGCAGAAGCAGTATCAATAGTTTCTTGCGGATTTTCCTCGATTTTTTGTTCCATAACCATTAATCATTTACAAAGCTGTTTCCTTAAATTGCAGTTTGATATTTGCTGTCACCATGAGTTATCAACAAGTTGCATGTTGTCAATATACGAATTCCACAAACTATACTATTACTGATTATGACGGAAGACTTTGACCAAATTTTTATTCTTCATAGAATTTTTGGGTTTTCGCTAGCGTAAAATATAGTATGTACACATCAGGACATGCTATTTTTCCTCGGTGCTTTATATCTCTCGGGCTTCGCCCTCGAGTTACTAATCACACCTTGGAGAAAATATTGCATTTCTGTTTCTTGTTGTATTATGTACTATTGTTCCCACCAATTGATTCAAATATGATAGAATAATGTACTTTTTTCCTCTCCATGTTAGTTGGTACTAAGAATTTCAATCTATGAGGATCAATAGAGAGTGAGTTTTATGAAATACCATTGAATTCTAAGAATAATGGGTCACATAGAAGAAGATCTAGCAGACATATCGGGAGCTTTCTATCTGTTGATAGACGTTTCCAAAAATTAATTGAAGTTTCGGAACAACAATGCAAACAATTGTTCTAGGAGGACGGTTCGATCCTGAACTCGTAATTATTTGAAATCATCATCAATTTTCATCAAACAGCTTTGAACTGCAACTTCTCCCGGTACGCTTCTGTAATAATTACCAAATTGAGAAGAAATTTGGATTCTCGATATATTCGAGATCAGACAATTATTTCTGAAACTTCAACCGGATTTATGTTCTTGGGATTTTTTTCTCGTCCCAATGAACACTATGCCCCATTGGAATTAGGCAGATACAAACTGAAACACCATGTGTATGCGCTCCTATCGTTGAATTCATGTTAATAGTTTCTATAAGCAGTTACATCACTATTTCAATAGCATATTGAATTCGAAAATGAGTCGGAAAAATGGTCGTTCCAATAATGTATGTTGGGGCCGTGATTTCCATTTCCGATTATAGGGGATTTATATAGAAAAGTTCTGAGAAGGACTCTCTGAATTCATACTGAGAGAATACCCGACCCGATAAACACCTTTATTGGGAGGATAATCTTATTACGGTTTATTTTTGTTGGTCCTTCTACTTACGGTGCTTCTCGTGTACGATTTAGGGTCACACATGAATAAATCGGAGACGAAAATATCAATATTCCATTTTATATTTCATTATGTTAGAGATACAGAAGGTATTCAGTTGAATCAGACAATAGTATATCATTTGATGAGCTCACCACTCACGAAGTAAAATGCACTATGAGCCGCAATGAATATAGTGTGTACTCACCTGCAGCTGGTGACAGTTTAGTGATAACGCCCCATCTCTGTTTCCACTGAAACAACAAAACAAAAGTTAGGCACAAATCATAACGAATGTGTGTTTGGCTAATGCCTCGTCATCATCGACATTGTTCAGACTGTTCAACAATCAAGATGATTTGTGTTCATCATTATACTGGTATAGGTTGTAGAGTTGTATTTTTTGTTCAGAAAACAATGTTGATGCCAGTATTAATGCTTGTGGGACGTCGAAATCAATGACTATGGTATCAGGTGATAATTAGATGTTTTGATTAACGAGTAGTTTGGGCATATTGTTCAAAGAATAGACGTCGCAACGACATCTGAAACTGATGAACATTGTCAGTTGCAAGTAATAATTGGACATCGCAGTGACGTCCTAATGACCTGAAGAGTGACGTTATTCAACTGACTCACTTACGTCATCTAGACGGAAAAATCATGTCAGATCTATCGCCAAAGGTGCTTCACAAAAACACGGATTTTTATTCTGTGCGAGAATCTACTTCACACATCGACATCTTTTAATGTTCTACAAAGCACACGCCTGTATACGAGTACTGTTTCCTTATGTGGGGTTCAGCTTCCAAACATACGAAAATAATAGTTGCTACATTTCACATTTCTATAGATATTTTCACCAGAAATGTTCTCCAGGAATCTGTGCTATCATTTTATCATCAGCAATACCAGTCAGACAAACTCAATTAGCTTAGTCCGCACATCCTCTTGTCGTCAATCTTGAAAAATGTCAAAACTTGTTGTGATGGGAATGACACATAGTGAGTATATCATGTTCACTAATGGGCTATGAAGTAGTTCTCATAAAATAAATCCATGACTTCTTAGTAACATCTCTCTAACTATCCAGAATAATTGATCGAACTGTACAAATGATCAACTTTACCGGAATATAAATGATGAAGATTCGTTATGCTCAAAGCAAAACACAACTTTGGTATGTATCTAGTCTTCATGCCTATAGTTATCGTCTACGTTATAATATGCTAGTACCTTCTAATTTATGTTCACTGCTCCTTCCACCAAATTATATACATAACATTATTGGCTGGAATGAGCATACATTGATTTTTTTCTATTCATAGGCTCATTTCAATTTTCCACGTATCTAACGACCTGTCTCAGCTTCCGTTCGTCTTTTATACGAGCAAAAATGTCTCTCCAGAAAATTAACATATAAATCTGCACAGAGAAAATTTACATTTGTATTGACTGCATAACTCTTTCGCTAGATTTTGTGCACAGTTAAGCTACAGAATTTTTTTCGTTTATTTTTTGAAGGATTCACATTTGGTCGATTCGAAACGTATACTAAACTCCACGACAATGAATTCAGGATGGAGATAATTTGAGTTGATTTTCCTAGTCTAAAACTTTTCCAATTGTTTCCCGATTTTGTTGATTTTTCAGCACCAGATTATAGAAATTTGAGTAGGAAAGTTATCCTCAATTTGGGTTCACATAAACAACTGATAGCTCAACCACTATACAGGAAGGTATAGAAGGAACTTTTTCATCTTTGAATGCCCGATCCCCTGTAGAAAAAATAAA